GAGTTATAGCAAGGTGAGAGTGGGAGTCTATACTCTCCACCTGGCCTTTCTACTCTTGTTCTGTGGTGTTTGGCTAGAGAAAAATAGTTATTTTCTGCGAGTTTCTATGTTATTGGCTGGTCCTTTCCTGGTCCTATGGCTAGAGAAGATGCTTTTGTTGGGGCATTTTTAAATTTCCATGTCTGTCAGATTTTGGGGTTATCAGCTTCTTCAGCTCCAAGTGTAGAATATATGTGGCAAAAAGAAAACCCAGGTAACTTATGATGGTGTCATTTCTTGGGTCCCAAATTCCCTCGGCAATATAATTCTTTCCATATTCCAGAGTCTTCTTGTATTTGTATGATTTCTAGGCACTTTAGTTATATTTAGTAGGAGGGATAGGGAAAAGCACATCTACTCCAAATTTCCAGAAACAGAAACCACTGGTCATTTTTTAAAATTAATTTTAACAATCTCTGTCTTGTAACTGATATGCTTAGACTATTAACATTTAATGCAATCATTGATATATCAGGATTTAATTCTACAATTATATTATTTGCTCTCTAATTGTTCCACTTGTTTTCCATTCCACTGTTTGCCCTTTTCCCTTTTTAGATTTGAACAATTTTTAGTATTTCATTTTAATTTATCCATTATGATGTTTTGCTATATCTGTATACTTTTTTATTGGTTGTTCTAGGGGTTATATACTCATTTTTCAGTCTATTTAGAATCAATACTTAAATACTTCAAGTGGAACGTAAGATCCTTACTCTTAGATAAACCATTTTACTCTCCCCCACTTTCTATTATATTTTACATATTATATTTATATATTTAGAAAACTGCGAACAATGTTATAATTTTTTTGTTTTCAACCATCAAACATATTTTCAAAACTAAAGAGAGAATAAACAGGCTATTATAAAAACTGGCAAATTTTTTCAGTAAAGAGCCAGATAAATATTTTAGGGGTTTGAGGCCATATACTGTGGAAGTAATGATTGGAATTGGCCATGTGGATGTTTCTGGAATATAGACAGTGTTCTATTTCTTCACCTGATTGAGGGTTACACAGAGTTCACTTTGTAGCAACTCACCACACTAAATTTTGTTTTGTGTATCTAACTTTTTTGTGTTATACTTATCAAAAGTATACCTAATTCTGAAACTAAATAGATCAGAGAGCTTGAAAAAAACAGATGAAAGACTTTGGGAATGGATTATCAGAAAAAAGAAGGGGTATATAAAGCATGTGGGATTTATTGCTCCCTTCAGCCCTTTCTTCTTTGAACAAAATTAATATATGAGGGAATATTTATAGTTTGCCCTCAACCCTGAGATACTGAGAATTTCTACTAGGTGCCATTCACTGAAATGAGAACTGCTTACTGAGCTATAATTTAAAAATAGGACTTGTTGGGGCCCCTGGCTGACTCAGTTGGTAGAGTATGCAACTCCTGACCTTGGGGTTGTGAGTTCGAGTCTCATATTGGGCATAAAGATTACAATAAATAAATACATAAATAAATATATGTGGGAAAATGAGATCAGAGGTCAATGAGGTACATGAGAAGAATATTCTATGTGAATAACAGGATAAAGGGAATAAGAGAAGAAAAGAAAAGATGCCCTTTAGTAAGAAAGACAACACTATGAATTCTAGATATTTTTCCTAGAAAGGGCATGAAGGTAAAGGAGGTTGAAGAGAAAGTGGTTAAGAAGAGCGTAAAGAAACAGGGGAGGGAAGTAGAGAGGAAGAGATTAGAGAAAGAAACAAGATGGAAAGAGAGAGGAGAGAAAAGAAATGAAAGATAAAAGGAAGGTTGAACTAAAGAAAGGAAAAGACACAAGAGGGAAACATGGTAAAATGATCTATATTGGAAAAAAATAAAAATAAAAAATAAAAAATAAATGATCTATATTGGACATTTGGTACAAGCCAGGCATTTACCCATATTATTTATATCTCACATCAACTCTCTAAGATAGGTATTATCTTTCCCCTTTTATGAGGAAGTGAAAGCTCTGAGAACTTATTCTACTCTAGGAAACACACCTAGGAACATCAACTCTGGCTTCATGCAACTCCAAATTCTGTGCTCAAGGAAACTTTAATTCCAACAGGGACAATTCCTTTATGGCAAGTGAATGTTTATGTGACACTTGAGTTGGAAAGAACTACCCTAGAGGGTGCCCTTGTCCTAATAAGTAGAAAATAGTTGATCTTCTGAAAACTTAAACCTAGAATTCTGCAATTCTATGGCATCAGGTCGTATTATGTGGCTTACTGAGATCACTGACATACTCTAATTCTGCTTTACTACTAAGGGGCATTTTCAAAGAATCTAATGAAAGAATCTAAAATTTCCCTTTCGGGTGGGAAATAAGTACTAGATGTTCTGTTTTAGTTGAGAAAGAATGCCTTATGAGAAAATGGGCACCATGTATATTCCATGGCCCAGTTTATAGTATTTGCCAACCAAGCATGAATGCCAAAGATATATAAATGTATGGGGTGGTACTGAAAATTCCAAGAGAGACTCGAGATTATCAAATTACCTGGATTGCTTAAGGCTAAACAAGAGAGCACCAGCAAACGACCAGTGGGAAAGAGAGACCTCAGGAAAAAAAAAATCACCTCATTTTGACAAAATTATGTGAAGAATGGTGGACTTTGTCTCTGTGTGTACCACACATTTTGGGGTCACTTCAGAATACTTGAAAAAAAGAATACACACTAATTCTTTCACTTAAGTTCAAAGTTGTTTAGCACTTACTGTAAGTTAGAAGGAGGGGTAGGGGGATGTTAGGAGGAGGGGAAGGGAAGGGGATAATTCACAAAAAAGGCATAAAAATTAAACCAAGTACCTCCAAGGAATAATTAGAAGTGAAAATCAATAAGGAGAAAATGGCTCATATTCTCCTCATTGATTTCCTGTGCACAGTGAGTCAAACTTGACTGTTGGTTAGAAGTCAGTTTGGCTACTTCTTATTACTTTTTCAGCAGTTGGGTACTCCTGTCAGTGCCGTTCATGCCGGAGTCTTTCTTTGCTCTAATCACAGCTGTCAGCTATTGAACGAGTTTGACACCCTGACTCCAGAAACGAGGGGATTCACACCCCATGCATATGCAGTTGGTGCCTTCATTAAAGCTGACTGACATAACAGATATGGTGCACGGCCACTGATTTTTATAAGCAAAACAAATGGCTACACAACCAACTAGGAATATCCTTGATCAGAAACACCCAGAATCCCTAGAATCAGCCTTTATGCAATTCAGCCATGTTTATTACTGTAAATACCTATACTCTGATTACTTAAAATGCTAGATATAGGCAGTCAAGAGCAGATGTGTAAACACATACACCAGACTCCTACCCTACAACCTTAGCTGTCCACTATAAATAATCTTGGCTGGAGTTCCAGGTGCGGTCAAAAGGAGAACTACTCAGCTATTGTGATCCGGATTTGGGGGGAGGCATTATGTTCCTCAGAGGAAAAAAGGACAGAATGACGCTAACCAGAATCTCCTCCCCCACCACCAAAAGAGAGAGAGAGAGAGAGAGAGAGAGAGAGAGAGCAGAACTAGAACTTCTCAGGTATTGTCATAAAGTCACGAAACGATAGACTCCAAGGTGAAATGGGCCAATTAGCCCCAACTCACAACTTCGGTTGTTTCAGAGCATCCCTGACCAGGTTCCCATTCAGATTCTAGTTGACAGTCTTAGCAGTGAGCATGACTTTTTTGGGCTGGAGGCTGTTGGGGGGGTGGGGAGGGGATGGAGGCACCAACGGCCTCAGCAGTATGGGGAGTCCTTACAGCAGGGTCCCGTGGGGGTGCATTCCCAACCTGTAGCTTGTGTCTAGCAATCGCCGGTCGCCCTCTTCCAACCCCAGGACCTGAGGCCTGCAGCCACCGCGTGCTCCTGCGGGCGCTTCACACATGCTTGGTCTCTGCCTCCCAGGCCACAGACACGTCACCAACGCCCTCCTCAGCACCCCTGGCTGATCCTCCACGTGTTTCCTCCATCGGCTCCTTCAACACCTAGTGAAATGCTCTTCTAGGGCACTTTGTGCAGCCCTCCCCCGCCCCTCCCCCCCCCACTACCACCTGCAATTTTTCAGCCACTCAGAACTTCTGTCAGATAATGACCAGGAAAAATAAAGAAAACAAACACACACACACACACAAAAAAAAAAACCCTAAGGGGATAAACAAAGATACTAGTGAGTAGAAACCCTGCACCTGAGTGAGTGAAGGGCAGCAAGGGGCCGGGACCCTGTGAGGAGAGTAGAAGAGGCGGCTGACTCCACTGTTTGGGGGGTAAGGACACAGAAGTCAACAAATAACCTACACACATATATATATATGATTGTACTATTCGATGTATTTTAAGAAAAAAAAAAAAAAAAAAACTATGGGTGGGGGCGGGGACCACGGCGGGGCGTGTGGAAAGGAGTTCGCCGGGCCTGGGCCTGGGCCTGGGCCTGGGCCTGGGCCTGGGCCTCGGCCTCGTGGGGCGGCGGCGGCTGCCCCCAGACCCCGGAAGTGGCCCAAGCCCGGAGGGGAGGGACCCGGCCCTCGCTTGCAGGCTCCGGGGCGCATCACCACGCTCGGACAGCGCTGCTTCGTGTGTTGATTCGCTCGTCGCGCGAGCTGGAGGGTCCCGGGGCCCAGCGCGCCCAGCACGCGGCCGGCGGTCAACGAGCCGTTCTTGAACGAGGAAGCGGTGTCACGTTAAGGCGTACCTCAAGGAATGACTGAATGGACGCACGGCCGAACCACCAGGCCCAGGCCCGCTCCGCTCCGCAGGCCCCCGGCCCCACGGGCCTACGTGCCCCCAGGTGAGCGCCCCAGGGGCCCCGGGCCCCGGGCCCCGGGCCCCGGCCTCGGCCTACGGCGGCCGGGAGGCGTCAAGGCCACCTCAGGGCGGAAGAGCCGCCCCCGGCCGCCGCCGGGCCGCGTACACGCAGGCGCGGGTGCCGGCACTTCCGGGAGGTCACATCCTCCCCCGTCTCCTAGCAACGGCTGGAAGCGTTGCGGACTTCCCGGGCAGCGTTGGCGCCGGACTGAGCCGAGAGTCCAGCTGTCTGCACGATGGTAAATCTGGAGCCTCGCTCGGCTCCGGGGGCGCGGACGTCTGGGGCTTCCCCCGCCTGGCCGGCCCGGGGCCGCGGCCGGGGCTGGGGGCTCCAGAAGCTTTTTTGGAGGGGCGACAGGGACAAGATACCTAGATGGGGGAGACCTTTCGTGAGGGATAGGTCTCTGGAGGGTTGATTCCGGCGGCTGGAAGTGGCGAGGTGTGAGCGGCGAGAAAGGGAAGAGAGAGATGGGGCGGGGGGGCGGGGGGGGGCGGGTATGACAGGTGTTGAAGGGGTGAGGGATCTCGACAGCGAGGAAACTTTGAAGAGGAAGGAGGCGATGTGGAGAGAAGTCGGATCGTCCTGGGAAGGAAGGACGATGCGACAGGGAGAGAGAGCGGAGAAGGAGGCGACGCCGAGAAGGAAGGAAGATAGAGGGGCGCCCGGGTGCCTCGGTGGTTGAGCGCCTGCCTTCGGCCCAGGGCGTGATCCTGGGGTCCCGGGATCGAGTCCCGCATCGGGCTCCCTGCTTGGAGCCTGCTTCTCCCTCTGCCCGTGTCTCTGCCTCTCATTGTGTGCCTCTCATGAATTCATAAATAAAATCATAAAAAGGGAGGGGGGGAGGAAAGAGGAAAGGGAGGACAGAGCAAAAACTGAAAGCGAAGGATAAGAAAAGGAAAGTGGAGCCTGGGAATAGTTCGAAAAGCAGCAAGGTGAAAGCAGAGTTTTAAGAGAGGAATTAAAAGGAGATTGGAAATTGGGATGAAGAGATTGCATTGGGGAGCGCAGAAAACACGAAAAAAACAGCTGAAAGAAGAGAGGGAAAGGCTGACAACAGAGAGAAGCATTTGACAAGGAAGTAAAAAAAAAAAAGATAAAGGAGGAGTCAGTGGTCGTAAGGAGCTGTGGACAATGTCCTTAAAGACACAAAGATGTAATATATTTTGGGTCCCCTGTATAACTACTCCGCCTTACTGCAGTGTTTCCCAAAGTGATATGCAAAGTTGCTGTGTAAGACAGCTTGGAAATAACAACACAGTGAATCATATCTGAGGAAGTTATTCCTCTTCTTCTTTTTTTTTTTTTTTCTCCCAGCCGGTAGACTATATCCAGTAGAAAACTCCTGGCACTGTTAGGGCCTTAAGCACTGTCATTTGGTAATTTCTTTTTTTAACCTGAACATCAGTGCTCAGGCTCAGACCTTTCTTTGGAGTAGAATTTAATAATATGTTCTCTCTTCATTTATTTTTGTTCTTATGGTTATTTCTGTTTATGACAATCAGCAGATTTCCATCTGTGGTAGTGATGTATAGTTTCCTTGTAATATGCATTTGTTTAAGTTTTTAATAGTGAGATAATTCAAAGAGCATACTAGGTAAATAGTGTAGATGGTATTCATTATGGCAAAAAGTGGGAGTCCAGCACACGAATGCCCGAAGTTCAGAAAACACCTGCTGTAGTGGTGGAAAAGAGGACGGAAGTGTTCCTGCCCACAACAAGTGCAAAAGAAAACTTTTGACTAAAGTAGCATAATATTCATCCATATGATGTCAGAAGGAAAAAAATAGATCACAGACCCTCATCAAGTGACTCTGTAGGATATTGTTTGAACCCAGAAAATCCAGTGATTACTCAGGAATAATATGCAAGTTTGGAAAAGATTGTGATTTTAGCATTGGTAGAAGGGAATAAAACTGGTACAATGGAGTCTGTGCAAAAGATTAATTCAGAAAGCTGAATTTAAAACCCAATGGTGTTCCAGCATCATCACTCATGATTGAATATTCATAGTTGAACATTTGCACTGAGACCCAGGCTATCATTACTAACAGAATCCTGGAATCTTAGACTCTGTTGTGTTTACAGATTATCCTGAATTTAATCATCTGAACTCTCAAGAAGGTAACATTTAGGACTAAGACTGAGATTTCTCATGAAGGGGTACTTTTAGACAGACGTAAGTAACCATATAGCTCAGTAACTATGTAAAGGGCTATAATACAGATAAGGAATTTTTCATATGAATACAGAAAGATCAATGAGTAAAACATGAGCAGGAGCAGATTTCTGTCCAACTTAGAGAATGCTTTTCCAGCAAACAGATATTAAAAACTGAGTGAGCTCTTGTGAGACAGTAAGCTCTCCATCCCTAGAAGAGTTCAAGCCCAGAGGTATGTCAGGTTTTATGTAGGAGTCTTATCGGTTTGGCAGGCTTGTACAAGACAGTTTCAAAGCTCTCTTCCAAAGGTCTGAGATTATAGTATCAAGAACCTTAGGCTAAAGGGATAGGAGGGTAGATGTCTCTGAACATTATTCAATTTAGGATTCGGGCTACCACAAAGACTGAGTTTGGTTAATTGCCTTCCTGATCTCTTCAGGCAGAGGTGGAGGAAACCCTAAAGAGGATCCAGAGCCATAAAGGGGTCATTGGAACTATGGTCGTAAATGCAGAAGGTAAATATATCACAGGTTGCCTTCTTGACATACACAAGCCAACCGAGAAACTACTTGTTGTGCCAAGCCTAGGACAGACATCTTAGAATTTGAAATAAAACATATTTTCTGTGTTTTAGCTATAACATGTACTTATCAAACATCTAAGTCTCTGTTCCATACCAAGTGCTCTAAGAATTAAAGATATAAATATGAGTAAGACATGTCTAAAAATATCTGTATATCCCTAAGAAACACTATACACTGTCTACTTTGGTGACCCTTCTAATATTTCAGAAGCAACAATAAAACTGTCATATTGAAGACAGGGAGGATGTCATTGTTGGCAGTTTTTATTCTAACATTACAAGGCATACAGAGTTTCAGTCTTCATTTTAAATGAAATTGTTCCTTTCCCATCCTTAATAAATGGCGAATCAATTTTAATCTCATGTATAGTATAGGCTTTGTGGTCATAGTATAAGAAGGACCAGCACATTTCCACCCATGAAATCCATCGACTTACACCAGAAACTTGCTCTCATTCCACAATCCCTGTTAACAATCCAAAGAGCATGTTCTCTGGCAGACTGCTCCCTGCTCAGCTATGGGGCAACCTCTAAAGGCTCCTGCTAGTTTGATTGCCAATTCGGGCATTTGCAAGGGCAAGAAGTACCGCAAATCCCAGAGCATTTGTTGAAATAAGAGTAGCTACTTCACATAATTCACAGTGCAACCATGAAATTGGCATATTGCCATAGCAGAATGCTTACAACAGAATCTCACAGCTAATCATTATTTTGGCACAGTTCTATCAATAAATGTTTATTGAGCAACTGCAAACCACAGCCAAATTCAGACTTCAATCCCTTATCAATTAAAAATAGAATATAACCTACTTTACTGATGGTTGTGATCATTAAATGAAATAATTGATCAAGTCCCTGACACAATACCCAACACTTAATATAATTATAATTAAATAATTCTGAGAATGTGAAAGTTTTTAATTGATTTGGACAGATAAAACATTCAATGCATAGATAAAATATTGGATATGTTTTGCAAATAAAATAAAATGAAAAATAACACCAAATGAATATAATAAATTCACCCAGCTTGAGTGATCAGGAGGGAAAGGATTTAAGATCAGCTTTATACGTAAGAAAGAGTTATGCCTAATATTTCCAGGAAGTGGTCCAACCCTAGCACATTGTTCCGGTTGAAATGATTTTTTTTCCTGGTATGTTCATAACTCCACACATCCCCTAAGATAGGCTATCTGTATGGATTCAGAAAGGTAATGTATTCATTTTCTTCAGCTCCCATAACAAGGTACCACACACTTGGTAGCTTAAACCTTAGCAAGTTACCAGTTCCGGAGGCTGAGAGTCAAAATAAGGGTGTCAGTGAGGACAAGCTGTTCTTTGAAGGCTCCACAGAATCCTTCCTTGCTGATGTGTCACCTTCTGTTGGTTTCCATTTCCAGTCCTTGGCATTCCTTGCTTGTAGATGCATCCATCAGTCCAGTGTCTGCTTCCATCCTCACGTGGTATCCTCCTCTCTGTTTTCTCTCCTTATAAGGACCCCAACCCTTGGATTCAGGCCCACCCTGTAGTGTGACCTCATCTAAAAAATTACATCTGCAAAGACCCTATTTCACATTCTAATATTTAAGGTAGATTTGAATTTTCAGGAGGGTATACTATTCAATCAAGGATAACTCATTTGACAAGTTACATTGGAAGATCTTAGTCGAAAATACATAATCCTAGCAATATGCATCATATGTCTGAAAATGCCCATACCCTGTGCTCTACAATGTCACTCCTCGGAATTTATCCTAAGGAGTAAAGAAGAATAAAAGAGACTCACTGAGGCATCATATACAATAGCAATAAATAAACAGAATAATCAGTAAATGAATCTAAGCAGTAGGGAAATTTTTAAATTAATTATGCAATACTTACTTGATGAGCCATTACTCTGTTTAAAACGTTGAGGAATAGGGGATCCCTGGGTGGCGCAGCGGTTTAGCGCCTGCCTTTGGCCCAGGGCGCGATCCTGGAGACCCGGGATCGAATCCCACGTCGGGCTCCCGGTGCATGGAGCCTGCTTCTCCCTCAGCCTATGTCTCTGCCTCTCTCTCTCTCTCTCTCTCTCTCTCTCTCTCTGTGACTATCATAAATAAATAAATAAATAAATAAATAAATAAATAAATAAATAAATAAATAAATAATTTAAAAAAATGTTGAGGAATATTTAGAGTCACGGTAAACTATTAGGTGAAAAGAAACATGGAACAAGCAGTAGGTCAACACTTTCTAATCATAAATATAGCCAGTCACACATAAACACTTAAGATACATATGAAAGAAAAGGCAGGGATATGTTACAGTGATCATCTCTGAGTGCTGGAATTACAATTGATTTTTGCTTTTCCCTAAAATTTCTTAATATTTTTCTTATCCAAAGGCAACAAAATATTATTCTTAATACCCATTAACTTTATCTAATTAACCCCTACAAGGATAAGATTATGTTAGGATTCAGGGCACTTGTCTGAAAGCCAAATTAACTTTTTCCCAAAAATATAAAATAGAGGTTTATTTTTATGGTCAGATTATTAATAACCGGAGTGTATGACAAGCATGTTTATTAATAGCATATGGTTTAAGTTGTGTGATCAGAATTAATAAAATATTCCATTTCAGCGGCCTACTGAATTTTAGATGAAGTGTCATTTATTATAACACAGCTTTGCTGCTTTCAAAAGACCCATGAACTTTAATACTAAAAATAATTAACTAAGATGGTATTCACGTGTTCTTGTTTACTACTAATGGTTTTAGTGTAATTCTCAACAAATCATTTTAACATATTTTCAGGTTTTATCCGTGACTATGTAGGCCTTTTACCATGTTTATCTCCTCATATGGCATGTTGAATAGAGTCCTTTGGTTTCACCTTTACTGAAACATAGGCGTTCTATCCATGGCAATAAAGTAGACTTATCGGTTTAGCCCACTGCTGAGTGGTACAGGTTTTTATTAGAATAGATTCTTTGTTAACGTTGGTTTCTCATTTATAAAACCATTCATTGTTTATAATATTGCAGTGGTGATTGTTGAATTAGACACTGGTGAATATATATATTTGTTTCACAGACAAGCATTCTTATGTAGTAAGCCTGATTTCTGTCGGCTCTTAATTTTAAATATTCTTGACATTTCTAATAATCTATTATTTGAATTTTATTATATTTTATCAGCCATCCAGCCAATTCCTTATATTTTGAAATGCAATCAACCAAAATACTTCTACAGTCAAAGACTACCAGCTTACTGGGATCATAAAGAGTCATATATTTTTTTTAAAAGACTTTATTTACTTATTCATGAGAGACACAGAGACAGAGGCAGAGACTTAGGCAAAGGAGTAGCAGGCTCCCTCTAGGGAGCCTGATGCAGGACTAGATCCTAGGACCCCATGGTCACGACCTGAGCCAAAGACAGATGCGCAAGCACTGAGCCACCCTAGTGCCCCATAAAGAGCCATATTTTAAAGTAGTGCCATAAACTCAGCAATATCAAATTCATATTCTTTGTTCTGGAAGTTCCATTGTAGGGATTTACCCTACCCATAGACACAAATGTGACATGGCATGCACACAGACATATTGTGTAGCCTTGCTTATAAAAGTCAAAGATTGAGAACAGTCTAAATGCCCACCAGGAGAATTTACTAGTTACATGTTCACAAGCCATCCATTCAACAATCATGTTATGCACTCACTAACCTAAGTGGTCCAGCTTTATATGTACTGTATGGAATAATTGTCCAAGAGTATTAAATGAAAAGAATTAAAATACAGAATAGAGAACAATATAATTAAGGAGTGAAGAATACAAACACAAACATATTTGAACACATTTAGCATGCTTCTGCAAACTGGGAGCAGTAACTACCTTTCAGAAGGAGACATGAGTGAATTTTATACTTTTATACTGTGTGCTAAAATTGCTTCTTAATAAATTATTTTCAATTACCTCACATGGTACCAAGCAAGAGCTCAATAAATATTTGTTGATTTTTTTCAAGCGGTCTGTAGTGGATATGAACAACTCCAAGAGTTTCCACAGTGTGCACTTATTATTCAGAAAGGTTAGCTGTTTTATTTATTGGCTTGGATCATGAATAGACTAACTAAATAGGCCTGAGCACCGGATTCATAATCTTGTCATCTACATTTTAAATAATTTATTCTGGTTGTATTTCTTGTTTTGACACTGAGCATTGCAGACTTTGTGGGTAGCCACTCCTCAGGATGCAAAATAAAACTAGTCCTCTGGAGGTGCTCTCAAAAGGTGGAGTTTCATTTCAGCCTGCTGCTTGTTAAAGACACAGGCCTTGAGATGTTTCATCAGCTGTGAATGATATAACTGACTTCAGGGTAAAGAGGCCAATAAATAAATATACAGATGAACAAACTTGATAAAAAGACTTATTTATTTATTTATTTATGATAGTCACACACAGAGAGAGAGAGAGAGAGGCAGAGACACAGGCAGAGGGAGAAGCAGGCTCCATGCACCGGGAGCCCGACGTGGGATTCGATCCCGGGTCTCCAGGATCGCGCCCTGGGCAAAAGGCAGGCGCTAAACCGCTGCGCCACCCAGGGATCCCGATAAAAAGACTTATTTATTGAACAGGTTTTCCTTTAAATATTATCCTTGTCTTATTTGGCAAGACCTGTTCCAGAGGTTAACAGTTTTCTTAAAAGAGAAAAGCAAGTAGTCTGTTTCACAGTCAGAATGGAGTTCTCAGAGTTTCATGGAAAACTGGTAAAATCCTTAGTTTGTAATACTGTTGCACTTTTGAAGTCCTCTCTTGTTTAACAATTTCTGGAATTGCATTCTCTGTGAGGGAAAACCCAGAGCTATGTTTGCCTCTTTCACTGATTGGCCTTAATTCATGTACCTGTGAAATTTGAGCAACCCCAAGTTCCCCTTCATATGTGCCCCTAAATTAAAAGCACGTTTTCAAATAAAATCCTTGCAATTCCCTGGCTATCTGGTAGTTCTCAAAATAATCTGAAGTCCCTCTCAGATTAGGCACAACATATGTAAAATACCTAGCACAGCACCTGTTAAAAAAATAAGCCCTGAGCACCAAGTGACCTGAATTGAGCTAAGATTGATTTGAAGTGAATTGAATTATACTTGCATATTTGTCTGGCTAGATTTTCCCAGTTAAATTAATAGGTTCAGATTTAAATGCGCATAATGGAGCAATAGAGCACACCAGCAGCTAAATTTAATAATGTTAAACCAAGAATGAGCGCAAACCAGGGAATGCCCAGCAGAACCACCATGCCTTTGCTGCTGTGTTCTCTGATATAAAATTTAAAGTTTGCAAGATACAGTATGAGGAGTTACAAAGAAATTTTTTAAATCCCTTTTGATATACTCTTCAATTTGTGCTGCAATATTCCTTTCTATTGCTGGCCTTAGGGGAGGAAACATGACACAGACCAGGCATTTCAAAGAAAAATGGCTGTAGATTGGCTGCTTGGATAAGTGCATTTTTTAGAGTAATATGTTAACTTTGTTCTGAAATAATTAATTCGTAACTTCCAAAAAATGTATGCATAAAAACGTTCATCACACCATTAGCAACAACAACAAAAACTGTTCCTAACGATCTAACAATAGGGAATTAGTTATATTATGATATGTTTATAAAATAGTGTACAGCCTTTGAAAATAATTTGATGACATTATCACTGACAAGAGCAACTTGAATATGCTACCATTTAAATGAAGAAAAAAGCAAAAGTCACATTTGTAATCATAGTTTGACCCAACTGTATTTTAAAATCCATGTAATGACAAAAAGATCGGAAGGAAATAAGCTAAATAATACTGTTACCAGTAATACCAGCCATAACTTTTTCTTCCACTTTATAGTGCTTCCACAGTGTGCATATTCCAGTGTTTCCACAGTGTGCATATTCCTTTTATAATTAAAAAATGTTAACCCCAAAGTGAATCTCATAACAGGCATCCCTATTCGAACAACGTTGGACAACTCAACAACGGTTCAATATGCAGGTCTTCTTCACCAGCTGACGATGAAAGCCAAGAGCACCGTACGTGACATTGATCCTCAGAACGACCTCACTTTTCTTAGGATCAGATCAAAGAAACATGAAATCATGGTAGCCCCAGGTAATGTGCCATTTCATTTCATATTTAAAACATCTTTCTGCTTTACTGGATAGAAGCTTTGTTTCAAAGAACTATAGATTTTTAACATGCAATATGGCTCATAATATTCTTTAATTATAAAATGAAGATGTCTGAATCTGAAAAATCCAATCTGGAAATTTTGTGGAATTAGTGGCAAATTTAACCTTTGAAGAAGCTGACTCTTTTGCCTATTTGCATTTATTATCAATAATCAAAATAATGAAGATATGTAGATCTCACATTAGAAACTTTCAGGAGTATAAAGAAATGTTTCCTGTCTAGGGGATAAAGTACAGAGTAGATCAGACTGTAGGGACTTAAACCTTCCCTGGGAGAGAATACATTCACCTGACCAGTCAACAACAGCCACCACAGAAATACTTCTTTCCCTGAAGGAATTACATGCACAGTGTTAGGAGATGTCTGTGCAAAACAGGACTCATGCTCCTATATCTTGTCTAGAACAAACTTCTCTAGAACATCTATAAAACCCCCAAACTGAAGCTTTTTCTGCACCTTTGTCCTTACCCTGGATGTACATTAAAAGCACTTGAAGAGCTTTACAAAAATAATTATTGATACCTGAGGCCTCACCCCAGGCCAGTGAAATCAGGACCTCTGGAACTGGGCGCCAGGTCATGAGAGCTTACGAAAGCTCCACAGGTGATTCTGATGTACAACCAGGATGGGAACCATCAGTCTACAGAAAGTCCAAGTCATGTTTTGAAGAGAAAAGCAGATTAGCTGAAGTATTCATTTATTAAGTTTAATTTTTCAGGTAGATTAATTTTGTCCACATCTCTCCACAGATAAAGAATATCTTTTGATTGTCATTCAGAACCCATGTGAATAGATCTGCTACAGCCCAGCCTGTCCTATGATGTCAGATTGAAAACATTTTACTTTATTACTAAGATTATATTCCAATCTAACTGACCTTTCAGACACTGTTTTCTATTTTTACATTTAAACTATTTGGCACGTCTCATTTAGTCCCTTTCCAATGTATTATAAAGTTGTGATTTAGCTACATAATAAATGAGTTCTGATATGTGAGTCTCTTTCTTTTATACTACACACAACCAAAGGATTGTCATGAGAAGACAGGCTTCCTTGCTAAAATCCTTGCAGTCCAAAGGCACACCAAGAATCAGCGGGGCGGTGTCCTTTTGCCCATTTCCTTAGCATGTCAGGGAGATCCCATGGAGTGCATCAGGGAAGTAGGAAGTCCTGACCCTCCGGAGGCACTAGATACTCTCCCCGCTTCAACAAGGGAAGCAAAAAGTCAGAGGTGTGGTCCTCAGCAGGGTCAGCCCCACAGCTGAGCACCTCCTCCCATCCCAGACTGTGCTCCTGCCACACCAGCCTGTGAGGTCAGCAGCAGGTCTGAGGCCAGGTGCATGCTTACAGGGCTGACCAGAAAACCCCACTAGGTATTTCAAATATTCAGAAAATAATGAAAGTAATAACAGAACAAATATAACAGATTTCTAAGCCCCATTAAAACAGATGTTAGTATTTTGCCATATTTACCTTCTATCCTCTCTTTTCTTAATTAAGCCTTTTATTTTGAGATAACTGAGGATTCACATGAAATTATAAGAAATTACACAGAGATCCTGGGTACCCTTTACCCAGTTCCCCAAACTACCACATATCTGACTTTCAAGCAGTTTCCCCACACTTTTATTTTAAAAGACTTCAAATTTGCAGAAGAGTAGGAATAGCACAGTCAACTCCCACATAAGCTTCACTCACATTCACCAACTCTTAGTATTTCACGTTTGTTTCATCTCTCTAGATATACATGTGTATATATCATATATACACATAACCAGAACCCTGCTTTCATATTTAAGACATTTAATATTGATACAATATCATCTAATACACAGTCATATTCAAATTTCCTCTACAGTCCCAATAATGTCCTTTACAGATTTTTTTTTAATCCATGATTCTATCAAGGGTCACAGGTTGCATTTGGTTGCCATGTCTCTTATTCTTAGCTGTTTTTAGATCCCTTGTTCTCCATTTTCCACCTCTAGGTGGTAATCGAATTTGTATTTCTTCTCCACTGAATCCCTAGTGCCACCTGCCACCCACCCTGAACCCCTCCCGATTGGACCCAGATGCAGCCTGTAAGCAGAGAAAATTCAGGCAAAGAGCAAGTCTCAATAACAGTCTTTCCCTTCCTTCCATGCCATGACTTAGAGACCAGACATACCATCATGGACCCCACCTCATCCTTCAGCCCAGTGGGATGTGGGTACCATAACTCACTCACCCACAGACAGCTTCGGCATCTGCTGGCAGGTCCAAGCATACACAAGGCCTTGTTAGAATCCAGATGGCAAGCAAATGGCATTACTGAGGGAGAGGATGACAGAAATGACATAGTTGACCCCTTGATTTTCAGGTAAGGATTTTACCTGAAACATGGGTCAGGTGTCTTTCAGGAATTGGGTATGTGGGTTCCTATCAGAGTGGTCATGCCTATAGAATTGGTGCTTATAATCTTGTCAGAGAGCTTATGCTCTTGTGACACCTGCTCCACACCTCCCCCCCAAAATTGTAAAAATTAGTTCATTGTTATAAAATGTACCAGAGGCAACATTTGATTCTAATACCTAAATCTGTCAGCTCCCCATAGCTTCCCAGCCCACCCAGAGCTCATCAGCAGATGCATGGCTGAGTGGCAAAGCCACTTCCTTCCTCCTGGCCCAGCCAGAAATTTCAAGCCCCATTTGAGATGTAGCAGTGGGAAATCTCTGGCAGGTGCAGATGACACCATTGCAAGTGCCAGGGCTCTGTGTGGGCTCTTCCTGGGAGGAAGACCCTTCCATCCTATTGGGTGGGAATTCTGACTGCACTTCTGCATCTAGAGGACACTATAACCCTTCATTAGAGACAGAGACTGTAGCAACAAAAAGTAAAACTTGCCAACACCAATTGCAATTGGGGAGGATATAATCTTGGGGAATGTGTACCACCCCGCCCCTGCCTTCCAGCACACAAACATTCACATTCCCCCTTGGATTCGTAATAACATAGTTAATTAGCCCTATTTAAAAGACGCCTGAATCCATAGACTAAAGATCCACATCCATACAAAACTATTGCCAAAGCTTTCGTTTCCTATGAGAAGTACAAGCCTGGACTCACTGGTGCCACCCTTTAGTCCAACTTGCTATAAATTCTACTCGAACAATGGGAGAGCTATTTGCAGACTCTCTGGAGGAACATATCCCAGCCATAAATATTAATGATAATGAACCTGGAAAGGCCAGCTTAATAAAATAGCTGAAAATGCATTTACACATCATTAGCATTACAAGCTCCCAAATCTTCATCACTGAAGAGCAGGACCATCCTGGTAGAGAATGGTGGGAGCCTGTCCAAAGCTCCAGCAGGTACTGCTTCAAAGTCCCTTTTACTGGGTACATTCTGGCTTTTGAGCTCGATTGCCTATCATCTTCAAAAGCAAAAATTACCATGGACTAAGTAAGACTTGGATTCCCCACCCTCTTCCTTAGTCTTTGGCAAATTATAATTAACCAACTAGTATGTCTTTGACACAGGGCAAAAGATTCTTTTCTGACATTAGAAAAGAATGTACTACCCTTAAATAGGAAACTATAGCATGTTTAGGTGAAATAGACATAGATATTTATTCAAGCAACCAATATGTGGTCTTATATTTCATTTCCTAAAAAAAAAAAAAATTAAAAAAAAAAGTAGATCATGTTTGGGGCCATCACAGAACTTTCAGAGTGGTGCTAACATCTCTCACCAGGAGCCTTACAAATGATAAAATAGTATCTGAAATCCTGGGAATCATGGGCTAAGAGAACTCCCATAATAGGAAATAATCTCTAGTAATGGAAACTCAGGCATCCACATGGCAGTTTGGAATATTCTTAGTATCTTGAATATTTATGCTTAATAACACTTTTCTGTTTGAAAATTTGGCATAGAAGCTTGAGTTAGCCATGTACTCAGACATTCCTTGAACACAGAGAAAAGAAGACTGAACGTCTTCCTTCCTCCTGGGTTCTTTGGGAAACCTCCACGTCTTGATTGCCTTCAACATACATGACCTCAGCACTCGCTCTCTGAACCCCACCAACCTTAAACATTCCTGTGGCATGCAGAAATGATTTTCAGATTCTCATACTTTGGTCAGTTTCACAACATGAGGTGCAATACGGCACAGTTGGAAGATCATGAGACCTAGAGTCTGACTCTACTACTTATTGGTTAGCAGGGTCCACACTTCTCTGGACCTCAGTTTACTGGCCCACAAATGGGCCCACTTGCAGTGGCCTAGCACTCCAAACTCTACAATACATCGTAAATGCCAATTATTACTAATAATAATAGCAATCTCAGCAAAATAAACCAAATTTGCCATAATTGAGCCATTTAATACATCTCACTATGGCCTCTTCTATTATTTAACCACATGCATAAATAGATGTAGAGTTATAATGCTGTTCAGTACGTAATTTTGTCTAATTCTTTTGTCATTTAATAAGGATTTCCACATTCCTACCTAGAGGTTTTTCTTAATATCTATATGCAGTTCTGTCAAGTTCACACCTGCCAGAGAACGCCAAAGAGAGATGCTTCCTTGGTACGTAGATTTGGAAGAGAGTCAGAGAAAAGTCCTCCTGTGCCTAGGCTGATGCACAGGTAATGCCCCTACTTCCACAGGGGAGTAGCAGAAAGAGCCAGTTCTCAGGAGGAAGGAATGCAGCTGCCATGCTTTGTAACACAGCAAGAGCAGAGCGTTCATCTCACAGGTTCCCTGCAAATGTTCCAGGTCCTCAATTACATTTTCACCTTTGAGCTTATGAAGCACCCCCAAAGCCTGCTAGTAAGTTTTCCTCTTTTGTGTACACTAGAGTGGGTTTCATCTATTTCCTGAAACCAGAAAGTCCTTATCTTGCCATGAACCTATATTTGGGCCACCCCTAACTGCTTTAATCAGACCCAGTCCAGGAGCCCGGTGGCTCCCTGGGAAGTGTATATTAATCAGAGGCCCTGAACAGATGGATTGTGGTCACCCACTCCCTTGCTTCCCTCGTCAGTGCCTCTTTCTAGCTTTGGCTAGGCAAGAGGAGAAACCATTGATGGAGTCAGAGCTGTGGGGGGAAAGATGTACTGACACATCCCTCTCACTGAGGTGCAGCAGCTCTACTTCATTTCCTCCTTGTGAGTGGCCTCTGCCTCTGACATTGGCTGGAAAGAGAACTGGCCACCTGGACTTTGGGCAGGTGCATTCTCAAAGCAGCACTAGAGGTGGCTCCAGGCATCTGGAGTGGAGGAGAGCCATATGAGAGACAACAGGGGTACAGAAGTACAGCACAGACCCACCTGACAACCAACTCTCCCCTTGTGCCAGAATTCAGTGTGGAGTTGAGGAAAGGACCCTGCTTTGTAGCCAGACAAGTCTGTCTTTGACTCCTGCCCCCACCATCAATAATAATAATAATAATAATAATAATAATAACAATGTATTATATTATGATTTTTGGAAGAAGAGGAAGAAAAAGAAGAATGAAAGGGAGGAGGAGGGGAAGAAAAGACAGAAGCGAAAGGACAAGAACAGCAGCGGCTAACTTTTGCTGGTCACTTACTCTGTAACAGGCACATTGGATTTGCACAACAGTCTCATTTTACAGACAAGAACAGCAAGGCTGAGAGAGGTCTCACAACTTGCCTGAGGTTAATCAAGCTTTTAAGTGTCAGAGGATGCATTGCAACCCCAAAGCTTGACTCAGGCACACACTCTTAACCCCTCCCTTCCATCGCTGACTCACCAGACCACTGACAAGGAAATTAAAATCGCTGAGCCTTGGAATCCTTACTTGTATAGTACAGACTATAAAGAAAAAAAATCATATAAGGCACCTGATACTTAGCAAATGTACAACAAAGGGTCATGGCAATTATCACCATCACCCTCATCGGTACTACATCATCATCACCCTCATCAGTACTACCTGGAGAAGCAGTAAGTGCTGGGAGATGCCCACTATAGCTGTT